CGGGGGTGGGAGGTGGAGGATAGAGTTCAGAGAGACAGTTAATAAACCTCTCGCAAGTACGTGTGGAAGGGGGGCGGGGAGGAGGAGGAGGATGAGGAGAAAGGGGGTGTGTATGGTGATGACGATGATGTTGATAATGATTAAACATTTTATATTCATAATATTTTTTGTCTGTAAATTAAGCAAGACTCTCCTCCCGACTCTTGCTTTTAAAACAATAATGGTGATAATAAGAACTTCAAGAGCACACAGACTGGCTGAATACACAATGTGAAAAGCTTAACATGAAGATCAGTAAAAGCAAAACGGAGATGATGAAAAATCAGCATAACACCTGGCAACCTAAACGTCACCATCGATGGAAATCCATTGAAACAAGTCAGCAAGTTCAAGTATCTTGGAAGTATCTTTTCGGAAGACGGACGTCTCAACAGAGAAATTGAGACGAGCGTACAAAAGGCTAACAGCGTCAGCTAGATCTACCAGCTTGCCCCACTTCTCAAACATCCTAACATCCATTGAGACAAAAGTCAAGCTCATTAACTCTATCTTCATCACCACCTTGACCTACCAGTGCCAGACATGGACCCTGACCAAAAGTCTGGAACGTAAGATAACCACCTGTGAGATGAGATGTCTAAGGAGAGCCGTCAACAAAACCAGACGGGACATGATCAGAAACAAGATCAGATAAATTGTGGGAACAACATCTGTCCTCCACAACATTCCAAGGCAAGCAATCAGATGTTTGGACATCTCACACGTATGGCACCTCACCAGTTTGCCTGTAAACCCTACTACATGAAAGCATTAGGGTACAATGCAAGAGGAAGACCAAGAAAGACCTGGATCCAGGGTGTGAAGGATACCCTGAGAACATACAATATCCCGCCCAGCCAGGCCATCAAACTTGCTAGAGACAGGAAGCTCTTTCTCCTCTCGACGCCCCAGAGGTACAAGAGAATGGATAAAGCAAAGTGATGATGATGATGATGATGATGATGATGATGATGATGATGATGATGATGATGATGATGATGATGATGATGATGATGATGATGATGAGTTCAGTTATTTTTGTGAATGTTCCTGAGGAAGCCCGTGGAGGGCGAAACGTTGAACTGTGTATCATATTATATTTTCTGGAAATACAACAAGGTCTTAACTGTTTTAATACCTTCTTTATACAATGATGATGATGATGATGATGAGGATGACAATGATGAAGATGATGATGATGATGATGATGATGATGAAGATGATGATAATGATGATAAAGACCACACGGATTTCTGATTTATGAATAGAATACAACACCATAATTTTATTGATCTTTTACTTGGTGTCGTTATAGATAGAAATAATATATACATTGTAATTCTATCAATAACCAGAACATTTGGTATTCTTGGTACTTTTTATTTCTATTCCAGAGGAGATTTTGATCATTTCAAAGGCACATGCCCAGCTGCATGCTCCTCTCAAAGTCAATCCACCACAGGTATTTCTTCCTTTTCTTCTTCTTTTTTTTTTCTGGTAAATGTTTTCCGCAAATGTGTCAGGCCTATACTATTAGCGGTTACTCTGGTGACGTTTGCTCCTTCTTTCCTATCAAACATGTATCGTCCTTATCTCCCTAGTGGGTGGTTGTCGGGTGCTCTGGTGTTTAATTTGCTCCTTCTTTCCTATCAAACATGTATCGTCCTTATCTCCCTAGTGGGTGGTTGTCGGGTGCTCTGGTGTTTAATTTGCTCCTTCTTTCCTATCAAACATGTATCGTCCTTATCTCCCTAG